CAGTAGATGATTCCCTATTTAATCTTTTATTACCTTTTGTAGAAAGGATAAGACTTGTGCTTTGACTTACAGTATTTTTCTCTAGTATCCTTATTGCTTACTCTTTAACTGACTGGGTTCTGCCAAGAAAAACTGCTTCTGACATAAAGTGAATGAGAAAGATTCTTACATTAGCAGGAAAATGGGAGGGAGTTTACAAGATGAACTTGTGACAGATGAGCCCTTAGAATTGAAAAAGCTGGTGCTAAGAAGACACCACTCTGGTTTCTAAAGCAATTTTTAAAAATTTTTGTGACTTTTACAGAAAGTTGGAAGTGAATTACAGACATCACTTTGATATGATTCACATCCAGTTAACAATTTTTAATGATACACATTGTCTTATGTCTTTAAGTTATTTTCTTAAGATATATGTTACCAAATACATAATCACAGTTTTCAAGGACTGGGCCAGCAGAGGGCTTTTTCAACACAAAGGTAATACATTTATTTAAAGGACAAATGCTTAATTTTTGAAATTCTATGGCAAAATACTGCTGTGCAAGCTCCAATCTATGTTTTCATTGAAGAAAGTAAACAGAGAGAATTTTGAATCAGAACAGGAATAAAAAAAGGCAAAGCCTTTGTCTGTCCTTGAGCAAAGAAGAAAAAATAAAGATGTATTACCAGAAGGCTCCTCAGCACAGGTGGAGGACACAGCTCCCATGATGAAGCTGAAGGTCACCTCTGGGAGGAGGCATTCAGGAGGCCAGTGGTGCTCAGTCACTTCCCCAGCTTGCCAGCAGAGGCATCCAGTGACATCGAGAAAATCAAATAGATAGAAATTCTGCTTTTCAAACACTCTCTTATTCTAAGGTGGTGTGCAATCATATAATAACATTTTGCCCAGTCAAGTCTTGACAAACCTGTGAACTCCGGGAATCTTATGATCTCAGACTATATTAGTTACTCAAAGCCAGGGAATGCCAATGGAACTGTCCATGCCAGCAAAGAGCAGTGAGAGTGTCACCAGGAGGGAGAGGGCAGCCCAAAGACTGACACTATCAAATGTCAAGCTTCAGAAGGAACAGGCACACGTACAGCTTTTCCATAGAGAGAATAGAGTAGCAGCACTCCTAACAGTGGGCAGTGCCAAATCATCAAAGCCAGTAACTGCAAAAACTGGCACTTTGACATAGCACATGCTCAGCGCTGGCTGACAAGGTGCAGCCTGGAGGTTTGCCAGGAAAACAGGAAAGGTGGCTGTTGTTCCAGTGCAAGATGCTATTACACATAATTTGAAGACATGCAAGTACTTTATGTTTATGCATACAGCGTGGCCATGGGATTCTTGAGCGTGCTATTTTTCTAGACACTCCTAATTAATACTCATAAAAAGTTCTGATGAGAAAAGTCAAAACACACTATAGGGCTAAATTTAGACACAATTTTTTCTTTGACAGTGGAATTATATCTGGCCTATTTTAAAAAGAAAAATAATTAGATTAGGTTATAAACATGCTTCTAAGATGACTAACCATAAGAGTCACATTGGGAAATCAGTTATAGATATAACAGGACATTTGAAGTGCCACAAACACCTGTTCTTTGATGAAAATATTTGTTTTATGTTTGAAAGATAAAAATGGAACCTTTTCACTTTTGCATTTATCTTCCTTTGGTTATGATTTTGCTAACATATACTGCTTTTCTTACCAGTAAAGTAGCACCATAGCCACCCCCCCAATCAAAAAAAAAAAAAAAAGGAGAAACAGGTATGAAGAATGTGAGCCATAACTTGTGATAAATGGTATTAATGTCTAGGTCATGAAGCTAGATATTAAACCCTGCACATCTTCTTGACCTGACAGGATTATTCTCTCCAAGGGCTGAAAAGTGTTTCAATCTCAATATTCACTGAATAATTGGCTGTTACGTGGGAGAGTGACACCAAGGTGATAGGAACAGTGAATAACTACAATCTGACTTGGATTCATTCTTATTTGGTGATTTTTAACTCTTTGAGACTCAGGTTCTAATTTCAGGCAAACCCTGCCATCCTGTTGACATCCCTTTGTATTGCTACAGTTTTGAAACTGACCAAATTTTAAACCTCATTTGCTTGTCCAAGTGAGCAATATCAAGAGGGTCTGTTTTGGAAAAAGAAAAAAAATGCAAATTAATCAGTTGATAAAATAGCATTTATGATAAAGATGGTAGTCTTTTTGTCCAAAGAGTATTTGGACAGCATAGGCCAAATGCATGTAAATTAATCCCTTTATCTAATCCTAAGAATTGAAAATGCCTATTATTTGTCTCAACTGTGGTCCTGGTATAAACAACGACTATCAGAGTCTGTAGGAAGGTTTCTTGAATCTGGTGAAGGCCAGAATAGTTCATTCTGTGCAGCACAGTTTTCCTTGCTGTTGGAGAAGACAGTACTCAGAGGGGAGCAAAGAGGATCTAGCGTTACTTCGCAGCACAGGAGGGAAAACATCATTGCCACTTGCATGTCTTTGAAGTTTTATTTCTCATTTTACTAAAAATGCAACTCAAAGCTCCTTGGGACACAATTTGTTTCTTCAAGAAGCTTTTCTCACAGAGAAACATTAACCAGATTGTTTCCTTTATAGAATTAGTAAATCAGATTCAGCAGTTGGTCTTGTCTCAGCCAGTTTGGTCTTCTGTTCTCTGCACCTCCATCAAGAGCTTTGTCTTTACTGTCACTACTTCTGCATCTTGGTCTGTTCTAGAAAATGTTACTGAGTACATGCAATATTGTTACAAGGGACAAATGTCACTGTTGGGCAGAAGTCTGCCTAAATGACTCTTCATAAATTCATGGAAATCAGCATTGAATTCACTGGCAGAGATCTCTGTAAACTGAGCACTAGACTTCTCTATATGCATTTGGTTGTGGTCAGGCCTAAGATAGTAATATCTCTATCTACACAGACAAAGTGTGGAATCCAGGCTTGAGAACAGCTCAGCACGCATTGGAAACCCTAATAAATGCCACAGTTTGAAATTGTTGACATGGTTTTGCAGTACCTAAAGGACTCACAAACAAGCAAGTTTATTTCTGTGTGATCTCCTGGAGGGCAGGCAGAGAACATTTCTGTTTGGAGGGAGGGACTGAAAGCTAAATGATTCTTTCACAGCTACTTTAGTGAACCTCTGGGAATCTCTTCAAGGACAAAACCAGACAATGCCATTGGATTATCCAAGCATGAAAGAAGTGACATTACCTTCCACTGAACTACGCTCAAGTGCAAACCCAGAACAGCGGGTTGTCTCTGTGAGTGGGTGAGCTCAGGTGAAGAAATGGCTGAAAGAAGAACATCCACCTAATGGAGTGAGGCAACTGCAGGACTTTTGTGCTCTCCTCCAGGCTTCACCACTGTAAGAGCAGGAGAACAAAACGTGTCTCTTTTATTACGAGTGTAATTACACTGGGGGTATGAGACTGGAACATCTCCACATAGCCTTTTTAAACTCTCACACCTTAGGAACTTCGATGTATGCATGTCCATAGGAAATATTTTCTAATCACCAAAACTGCTCATTACTGTCACACAAAGCATCTATCAGGATCCATAAGGATCTCTGTGTAGGATCCAGCAAGGGCACCCTTGCAAAGACATTCACAGATCAGAAAATTTACAAAATCACAGAACAGCTTGAGTGGAAGAGACCAGTAAAGGCCATTTAGTCTAAGCCCCTGCAATGAGCAGGAACATTTTCATCTACAGCAAGTTTCTCCGAGCCTTGTCCAATCTGACCTTGAATGTTTCCAGGGATGGGGGACATACCACCTCTCTGGGTAACTTGTCCCAGTGTTTCACCACCATCAACATAAAAAACTTCTTTTCTTGTACCTAGTCTGAATCTACCCTCTTTAGTTTAAAACCATTACCCTTATCCCATCACTACAGGTAAAATAAGCCCAGATCCCTCAGTCTGCCCTCAAAGAAGAGGGCAGATCATTTGATCATTTTTGCAGCCCTCCTCTGGAGCTGTTCAAACAGATCCATGTGTTTCTGTACTGAGGACTCCAGAGCTGGATGCAGCACTCTAGATGGTCAGACCAGTGCAGAGTACAGGTGCACAACCACCTCTCTTGCCCTGCTAACCACATGTTTTCAGATGCGACCCAGGGTGCAGTTGGTTTCTAGGCTGCAAGGGTACATTGCCGGGTCATGCCTATCTTTTCATTCACCAATAACTCCATGTATTTCTTGGCAGGGCTACTTTCTGTACCTTTCATCCCCCAGCCTGTGTTGATGCTGGAGTCACTTCAACCCAGGTGAAGCTGGCACTTGGCCTTGCTGAATCCCATGAGATCTCCCTAAGTCCCACCCTCGAGCTTGTCCAGGGCCTTCCAGGTGACTCCTGTTTCTCAGGGGTGCTGACCCTATCATAGCTTGGTGTCTATTTGCAAACTTGCTGAGAGTGCACCACTGCCTGTGTATGGAAAGCGAAGGGAGATGACCCATCCTTTGATCAGCATCAAACTCCAATTTATTGATCAACCATGCACATTTTTATAACGGTGTTAATTAAGTTCATACATATTGCAAAACCCGAGCTCATCATTGGTTACAGATTAAACACCAACCGCTCCTTTTGTTTTCAATACCTGTGGTTTGTTATTGAAACAAAGATTTGTGTTCTCACCCTGATATGAATGGCTCTCAAGGCTTCCATGTTTGTCACTTTTGCTTTCCCATACCTTATCCAAGGACAAGGTATTTACTTGTTATTGAAGACAGGCTTGAGAACTCTTGCTGTTTACATAAACGTTTCTGAGAAACAGACTTGAGAATTAGCTGCTTACAGCTGCCTTTTACTTTTCCATCAGCTGTCTATTTTCATGGCCTTTTTTCCTTCAAGCCATGTCTGAGCAAAATTCTCCAACACCTGTGTCACTGGTGAAGACATTGAAGACCAGTCCCGCCACAGACCCCTGAGGGACACCACTCATCACCGATGTGGACATTGAGCAACTGACCACTACTGAATTAACCACTCCTGATTTTATTTAGCAATTAAGTAACAAATGGATTAAGAATTTGCAGATGGTATTTACTCATCCCTTGCAATCAGCTCTCTTGTTTATACAGTTCTAGCTGGTTACGTGATGAAAGTGTGTACACACAACTGATGAGCCAGCATCTTTTGCTGGGTGGGCCATTGATGAACAGAGGTTTTGACACTGACTTTCACAGAAATGGGTCTGAATCTTCCCAGCACTCTGTTTTGTTGCGGAGGTTTACTGGTCTCCCATTCTGCGGTAGGTCGCACACTGGTCACAGATTAAGCTCTCACAAGATGAGACAGCTCAGCAAGAAGACAGCAAGAAGAACTGGAAGTCTCTTCCCCATGCTTCCAGGGAAACGTCTGGAAGTAGAAATCCAAAAGCACATTGAGCCACAAGAGAGTGCAAGGATAACAAGCCACTAAGAAAGCAGGAAATATTTCCGTTAAAAGTAATCTGAAATATCACTAGAGCAAATTTCAAAATCAGTATCTTCACTCATCAAAAGTCATCTTTATTGCTCATTTTGTCTCTGATTAGATTACTGACAATTCAGAAGCATGGCTTTGATTTATAATTCAATCAACTTGTCATCAATAGCAGGTCTGAAAATACATTTGCAAAAGGAAAGAGTCAATCAGATACAGAGGGCAAGCTGCCAAAAGGCTCCAGCTATTAATTCTGAGCAGAATTTGGTCTGATTTGATATTAAATAGCTGACTCACTAGTTTCCTAGCATGCAAAGAAGATAGAAACTAATCATAGCTGAATCAGAGAATTATTAAAGTATTTTTAGAAAGAATTAGTACCCTAATTCTTTTTCATGGTGAAAAAGAATTTCATTTATCAAACCTTCACACATCTTGGGAGAACTGCTATCTCATTTATCGTGTGATTAAAAAAGCCCTCTTAACATTGACTTGAAGATGATTAGTTACTGTCATAACATCATCTCACTAGATATGAGGTACTCACAGGGATGCATTTCCCCAAGGCAGTCAATTCTAGGGCACCTACTCTAAGCAACAGTAGGACAGAGCAGGTTCTTGAATAGCAGCAATCTTTACTTGCACATGAGATAAAGTCTATGGATGTTGTATACTGTTTTCATCCAAAAAAAATACAAGGATAGGCTCCATCAGATATTAGGGACTAAAATGTTTTAAACACTCTCTTGAAATCACAAATGACTGGATTATTTGGGGCCTTTTCTGTGCAGATTCCTCTTGGTGTATATCTCACTGGATTCTACCCTGTAGGCTTTCTCAGCCAGGCTGTCTTCAGAAGTGTGTCTGGATTTACTACCAGGTGTAGTGGCACAATTGATAGCTCTGCTTTGACATTTACCACAGACTTGCAACTTTCATCTTAGAACCGGGTATTTCTCAGGAAGATTGATTGTCACAACCTGGACTTAAGCACTTGGCTAATTGTTGTCTGGAGCCCTGCTAAGTTTTAATTTTACTATTTGCCTTAAATTAAATTCCTTTTTTGTAAGAGTGTCAAATTTGATCAGATTAGTCTTTTCCAGTATAAACTTGTCAGAAACTAAAAAGTAGCTTCATTTCCACCTAGGCTTTTGTCAGTACAATGGAAAAGTACATTTCAAGTGATGTATTTATACAAGTAAATTACATTCCAGCCTCAGTCTTTTATGTTTAATGTGTCAGATTTAATCCCTCAACAAATTAGAAAGCCAATGTTTGTATTGTTTTCCTAAGTCACATGCAGATTTTATTACCACTCATGAGTGGAGATAATACATTCAGCTTTTCTTACACCCTAAGTAATGCAATTAAATAATAAGTACTAATGACTGCATTCTTGTTGAAAATATATTTAGGTTTCTTAATTGAACAGATTCCTCTGTGACTTGAAAAATCTAGACTTCTTCTAAACAAAGTTTAGAGATAAGCCCAGAAGCAACTAGAGGCACATACAGTATGTTCTCATCATAATATACCAGAGAGAACAAGAAAATAGTGTTGGAAAAGACCATTAAAGATCTAAAATATATTAATCCTATTCTTAGAGATCTGCCTAAGCACAGACTACAAGGACAGTGGAAAAAGACAAAAGCTGATAAGTGTTTACCTCATAACTGGTGTTTTTTCTCTTCGCAGTCTCTCCTCTCACTCTTTAATTCCATCTCTCATGGTTTTTTTTTTACTGTCTCTTCCCCTGTTATCCCTTTCCTCATGCCTTCCTGCACAATGTTCTCTTCAGCTCTCTTGCCATCTAGGTAATTTTTTGTCCTCTGCAGAACCAGAGCCTAGCATTTTTGCTGTGCCACCTTCTTTCTTTTAATTTTTCCCTCAAATATCCCCAGCCACAACCCAACTAGAGTTTACTCTCCTACCAGTGCTTTTCTCTGCATCTTCCCATACTTTTCCACTCCAACTATTTTCCCCCACTGTATGCCAGTTGGCTTCCATTTTCTTTTCTCTTATTTTGACCTTGTTTCTCCTATTGTCTTTTCTTTTCACAGGTACCCCAGATTCTCCTTTTTCTCATTTCTATAATTATGACTTATCCTTTTCCTGCTTCTTTCAGGTCTCTATGTTTTTCAAGATTCTCAATGTCTCAATTTCAAATATCCTTTCTGTACCTTCTTCCATTTCTCCATCTTCTCTATTTCTTTCCAAATCCCTTTCCTCTCCTCTTTGCTTTCCCTCTCTACCACCTCACTCTGCTCAGGTTCTGTTTCAGCACAGATGTTGTAATGCCTCTACAGCCACCCTGCCAGACTACAGAGGGGGAAAAAGCAGCATGTCAGTCCATGGCAAGGAGGCAAAGGTAACTCCTCACCACAAAACTCACGGGCTGAACAATAAAGTTAGTTGAAAGTGCTTTGAGAGCTTCCTCCACATCCTTAGCACAGAAAGACCTAGATCCCCATGCTCCTGCTACGCACAACACTTTGGACAGTGGCTTATTTGAATAATTTGTGTAGCTCTTGAGACCATGTGCTCAGCTTCTATTTTTGGTTTTGTTTTTTATTCAGCTTCTTTTTTATGGTTTTGTTTTTTATTCCTGACCAGATACTAAGGATATACAGAGAATCAAAGAACACTGCAAGGAACTTTTTGAACCTGGGCTAGCCTTGATGTTTTATCAGGCTGCTTGACTCATTTGGATACTCCTATTTCACAGTAATCCTGCTTTATGAGCACTGTACTGTGCAGATAAGCCGTCTGCCTTGCTGCATCGCTTCTTGTAGTGCTTTCATTCCTTTCTTGAATGCTTGTCCCTCTGCTAGTCAGAGACATGCCTGCCCATACTATGGAGAAACAGGCTTTCTTCCCTCATCTCAGCTCTGATGAGGCTTGGAAGGTACTGGAAAGCCAAGTTCTGCCCAGTGCCAGCCCGCAGGAGACCCAGAGTTTATTGTCCCCTTAACGCTGCTCCTGAACTGCATGACAAATATTTCATGGAACAGTGGAGTTGTTCTCTACCATCTCTATTCCCATTGCTCAACTGTACTGGTGTGAAACAAGCAGCTCTTGCTTATCCTGCTGCATCTCTTGCAGGCACTACCCCAGCTGAAGCTCTGCTGCTAGGGTAACTAGAGTTCAGAACTAATGGTCTTCAAGCCTATTTCTACTTCTTCCTCTATGGGACCATAGAGATGGTGTATGAAGCAGTTAGAATGCAGAGCATGATCATTTGTATAGCCACAGATGGTCCTGCTTAGTTATTAGAGAAAGCAAAAGGAATCTAATCTTTATTGAAAAGAGGAATATCTAACATACTTTTTATATAATTTTTTCAGTTTAGCTCTTCTAATGGTTTTCTTGCAGCTGCTGTTGTGTGATGGTATTTGTGGAAGATGAATGCAAACAGTGATGGGCTGTGGACACCAGGGACTAAATCAGTTTGCCTGGATGGCGGGAGCAATGCTTATGCATGATCAACTCCCTCTGGGTTGCCAAGGAGCAATATTCTAACAGTTAAACAAGCAACTTCTTGTCTTTCTTCCTAGCTATAGGGTAAAGGGCAAGAAATAGTCAAGTGTCAATGAGGAAAAACCAAGGGATTAAAAACAATAATTTGGTTTTGTAGGATGACTCCTCTCCTTACTGTGATATAGCTTCCCCTGCATGGTAGATTCCCCTGGGCTTTAAAGTTAAAGGCTGAAAACTGAGTTAAAAAATCTCAGTGTAGAAAGGTATCTACTTCTAAAAGGTATTTTCTCCCTCACCAGCTGACTTTGCCAGTCAAGCAGAAAAGGAAAGGAGCTAGTGATCAACTGTTACTTGTCTTCTTATCTGGGAGTACTGTTTAATTATGATGCAAAATGTAACATCTCTATAATTTGAAGCTGCTCCTTTCTGAGGCTTAATTTTGATTTGGACTGTGCCCCTGTTTGAAGGGAAAGGAACCACCCATATGAACATGAAGCTGGAATGATGCTAATCTTCCCCTGAGCAGAGGGGTGTACAGAATTTCAGTCTAAGGCACAGCAGCACAGACTCAGCTCCAGAGATAAAATTAGGGCAAAAAGGGAAGTGTATCTGTTAGAAGCATCAATTCTTTTGTGCACTCCTCCCAGGAACCTGCTCTTCAACTCCTTATTACCACCAGCAGAACAAAGCAGATGCTATGTGAGTCAGCAGTGGACTCCTAATGAAAAGTATAGGCCTTTTTTGGTTTTGCAGTTTTAGTAGTTCTCACAGCTATCTGTAATGAACAATTTTCAGTGACAGAAAATCATAGGAAAGGTCATTTGATTCTGCACTAACCTTTCAATGCAAAAAGATACTTAACCAAACCAAATTATTTTTGTTACAGCTGCTAAAGAGGTGTGCAGGTGGCCCTTCTCTGCCTATCCTTTAATGTGAAATCACTGCCTGCTGTTTGAATGCTTTCTGAGTTGACAAAGCCAAGCATTAAAGCCCAATCTTTGCCCCTTGAACAGCACAGAGGAGGTATGCAAGCTACTTTTGAGGACGGAAGGTGGTATCACAAAATATGCTAAGAGACCAAGAGAAAGATGTTGCTTCTTTGTACAACAGAGTGCTCTGGATATCATCTCTTTCCTCAGCTGTTGTGCTTTAAAGAGGAGGGCAATGGTAGCAGGCCTGGAGATCCATACATTGCAATAAGGCAAAAAGAAGGCACAAAATATTTGGTATCTTTGCAAGAAATAATAGGATTGCTACCAGCATTTTCCATTTTCAGCAAATGTGAGAAAACTGTATGAGGAGCCAAAATGCAGGAGGGGCAAGGTCTACCACCTTTCAAAATGTATGAATCGGCCAAAAGGCTTACTATGGACTTAGATCTAAGAAATGCAAAATGCTACACATGAAAGCGAACTCCATGTGTTGGTGCAGGCTGGAGACTGCAGAAAAGGATCTTG